TAGTGGGAGTGCCGCATAGAAAATTTTGATGACTGTCTTCTAGGGGGGTATATACAAGCAGTGAAACGGTAAAGTGCGGTAATTCTCAAAACAATTTTTTTCGACCATTCGGCGAAGCCGATCCGACTGGCCCTCCCTCTCATGGAAAACTTCTCACCGGGACCCACTTCACACGCGGAAATAGGGCCGGGAGAGAATGCTAAAAGATACAATGAAACGAACATGAACTTCCGCCCTAGAGTGTTTTGGTGCTTCATTTCAAAGAAAAGAAATACAAAAGAATGATGCCAATCAACCCTTGGGCAGAAGCTGAGGGAGTAAGCTAGTAGCAAATCAGCCACACCACTTAGCCGTTAGGATGCACTTTGGGCGATGGGCGGGACAGTGGTTCTGTCACAAGCCCTTTTCACACATTTTCGAACTACAAAAGAGGAGATCGTCTTCGCTCGTGGACCGGCTTATATTGGAAAGGGAAGGCTTTTGCACATCAATTGAACTCGGGCTTTCAAGGGTTCCGAAGCAATTATTCATCGGAAAGTGTTTCATTCAAGCAAAACATTTTTTGTTTAGCATTCATTGCATTCTTCTGGCATGTCATTCACCTGTTGAAGTTGCCACTGAATCCACTGACTTTGCTTCAACTGCGGAATCGACTGTGCAAATGAATCGGATTCATGATCATGAAGATACCTAGCACTGATTATTCCATTACTCACCTTTTTATTCAAATGGTAGTTTTCTGTATAAATGGTAGTATCAGTAGTAATAGCGGTGTTATTTGTTTTCACTGGTGGTAGACGACGATACTAACAGTTTGTATAGAGTTATGAATAACAATTTTTGAATAGTCATGTTGAGATGGTAATCATGGTCATAATCCAAATTTTAATACCTATTCCGCCTTTACGCCGTCTTTGCTATTCCCATTGTGAAGCATGTCAGATTGTCGTCACTGTTTAGTTCCGTCGATGACGTAATTTGCTTGATGTTGTGAAGTTTTGTGTTCGGCACGTCTTAAGTAATGTGGCACCTTGGTTCAGCAACGTGTATTTCCTGATGTGGTCCGACTAAGGAGTTATCGTAGTGAACTTCCGTAACACGATTCATCGCTTAACATCTTGTTCGCTGCGGGTTTGGGGTGTAACAGGAGGGCCGGGTTTCGCGCGATGCCAATCCCTTCTCCACCAATTGTTATTGCTTCCCCGCATCAGCAATTGGTTTAGAACTGGCTGGCGCCGCTCCGAAGCCAGCTTGCATGACATAATCAGAATCCACACCGGGCAAGATTGTTCGGTGTTCTGCCAGGGAAAGATGTCAGGGAAATGGGTTAGCCTCAATTTTGACTAGCGTGAAGGAATGCAAAAAATCCCAATTTGTGGAGGCGTGCATGGGTTTTACCGCTTCCACTAGTCTTTTCACTCCTGAATGTTTAGCAA